TTTTATTTTTTTTTTTTTTTTTTTTTTTTTTTTTTTTTTTTTTTTTTTTTTTTTTTCCCTATAAAAAATATTATATATTTATTGAAAATTTTATTTTTTTTGTATTATTTCAAGTAAATATATAAAATTATATATAATCTATATAGTAAAAGAAAAAGTTGTATATTAAACATGCATAAATGTTTTTTATGTAATTATTTCTTTAATATAGTGCTACGGAAAAAAAAAAAAAAAAGAGTTATAACAGAAAATAATAATGTAACTTATAGAGAAAATAAAGATAAAGTATTAATTTATGAATCTTTTTATTCTGTTAACATGGATAAGAAAGAACATATTGAGCATAGTAAAAGTAATAAGGACAGCAATGATGGTAATAAAAAGATAATTATCAAAGATATCTATTATGATTATTTTAACAATAAGAATACAACCTCCCCTTTTCTAAATGATTTAAATAAAAAGAATAATTCTTGTTATTGTATTTATAATAATAAAAACAATCATCATAAAAAAATCAAAAATATGGATAATCACTATAAATGTATGTCACTACAAAAATATGAAATAAATAAATCATCAAAATATATGAATAAAAAATTGTTAAATAGAACAAAAAGAAACATCAATTATTCATTAGATAGACATTACTCTACTCTCATAATATATTATAGAATAAAAAAAATAATGAAATATATTACAAAATTGATATATTTAATTCATTTTTATATTTTAAGAAAAAAATATAAAAGAAATATTAGTTTATTACTCTGTAGTGATAATTACAAAGAACATAATAAAGAAAAAAAGAAAATGAAACATAAAAAAAAAAAAGATGAATATTTATGTTTATGTGAATTATCAGAATTTATATTAATAAGTAATAGGTTGATCAATATTAATTACTTAAAAAAGAAGAAAAAAAAAAATCAAACAAAATGCTATTATAATAATTGTATTAAACAAACTCATATAAAACTCTCAAAAATCTTGAATATTAATTTTATAAAAAAGTACATAAGAATTGTGAAAATGATGAAAAAAAAAAGAATAAGAAATCATATAATGAAAAAAACATATGTTTCAAATATTTATCATAGTAAAATTACTAAAATTATAAAAAATATAATTATAAGAAGTAAATATAAAAAGTATCTGAATTTTGTAAATAACAAATATATAGAGAATAGAAAAAACATATTTTGTAACAATGAAAAAATGAGAAGATTTAATAGATGTATTAATTGCAATACTTATTATAAAAAAAAAAGAAACGATCATTACAATAAAAACAACAATTGTGAAATGAGTAACAATATCATAGATAGCAATAACAACATTTATAATAAAAATAAAAAGAATGTTAGTAGCAATAACAAGAGATGTAACAAAATCTGTATAAAGTATCATAAAATATGCTATTTTTATAATAAAATTTATTTATATATTAATAATATTAATAAAGAAACTAAAAATCAACAGGGTTTAAATTATTTTTCATATATAAGAAATCATAAAAATATTAATTTAAGTAGTACACTTACAAACTATAAAAATGAAATAAATATTAACTCTTTTAATTTAAGTGAGGAGACTGGTATAAAAATATCGTTAAATCGTAAAGAAGATACATATGATTTAAATGAAAAAATTAAAAAAGAAAATATAGAAAAAAAAATATATATATATGAAAATATTAATAATAAACAGCAGTTAAAAAAAAAAAAAAGGAAAAAAAGAAAAGAAAAAGGAAAAAAATATGTAAAGTATATAAAGAAAAATAAAAATTATTCAAGTGAAAAAAAAAAAAAGAAAAGGAAGAAAAATAAAAAAAATAAATTTCCAAAAAAAGTCCATAAAAATTATTTAAGTATAAAAAATAAAATCAAGGTTGAACAAACAATAAAAAATTATGAAAAAAATTTTGATTTAAAAATTAAAAGTAAAGAAATAGAAAAAATTGATAATATAGAAAATGAAAAGAGTGTTAATAAAGAAAGGGAAATATATAATAAAATAGAAAAAAGAAGTCTTGATAACTTAGAATATAAAAATAGTAAAGTAGAAAATGAAAAATATGAAAATAGAGATATTGAATGTCTTGATAATATAAAAAAAAAATATAATAAAAAAGAAAAAAGAAGTCTTGATATGTTTAAAAAAGAACATAATGTAATACAATATGAAAAAGAAAAATGTAATGAAAAAATTGAAAAATATTTAGATAAAGATTTTTATTTTAAAAATGATGTTGTAAACGTAGAACAAGTAGAAATAAACGAAGAAAAGAGCAATGAAAATAATGAGCAATGTAAAAAAAACTCAAATAATGAAGATGACGAAAAAAATGAAACTTTTAATGAAACATTAAAATTGTTAGATTCTCCTAAAGAAAATAATCTATTACTGATTGATAATCATAATATGTTAATGAAAGATTCTGATATAAAGATAAGAGAAAAAAAATTTATGGAATGTTTGCAAAATTGTGAATATATTAAAAACAATTATAAAATGATTAAATTATTAAGAGATAATTCTCCCAATTTTGTTTATGAATGTTTTGATATAAACAAAAAAATTAATGTAGCTATTAAAAGTGTATGTAAAGAAAAACAAATGTCTATTATGAGTTATAATACTTATATAAACATATATAAAACTATTCAAAATATGAATAATAGCAATGTTATAAAAATATATGATTTAATAGAAAATCAGACTCATTTTTTTATTATAATGGAGTTGTGTGAAGGATGTGATTTAGTAGAATATGTATCCAATGAAAAAATATCTTTTGAAAAAGCTAAAAATATTATTTATCAATTATTAAATGGAATCAATGCATTGCATCTGAATTCGATAATTCATAGAGATATTAAACTAGATAACTTGATGTTTAAAGATAAAAATAGGGAACACCTTGTTATAATTGATTTTGATATGAGTGTGTATATTGATAATGAATATGAAACTCAAGGATGGCAAAAAAATAATTTTTATGAAAGTGAAACAAAAGATGTATTTTGTGAAAATGAATTTGATATAAATGATTCTGATAAAAATGAACACGATGCAAATCACTTCGATATAAATCAATTTGAAAAAAATAATTATAATGAAAATGAGTTAAATAAAACCCACTTTCATACTAGCATGTTTAATTCTGATAATCTTTACACAAATAAACTTTATGAAAATAATGAAGAAAAAAACAATTTAATCAATTATATTCCACATATGAATAATTATACAAGTATAGAAAAAAAAAATGTAACTAGATCCTTAAATTATGAATATATGCATTCTATTGAAAATAGTTTATCTGCTTTCACTGATAATACTGAGAAAACATATATAAATGAAGATGAAAAAATTATATATAATGATTTAATTATAGGAACAAAAGAATATATGTCTCCTTATTGTTTGAAAGGAATTTATAGTGAAAAAACAGATATTTATAGTATAGGAGTTACTATTTTTATAATTCTTTTTAAAAATTTTCCATATTTTTTTGAAGAAAATTCAGTAAATAAATGGGAAAATGATGTAATTAAAAAAAATGAGAATATTGTTATACCATTCTCTTTCTTGTTTCATAATTTAAACTCTTGTCATTTTATTAAATTAATGGATATACATTTAATAAATAATAATATCTATTTTTGTAAAAATAGTTACTTATTAGATCATGAATTAAAAGAAATAGAAAAAATGGAAAATATAAAAATTGATTTTACTCAAATAAAAATAAATGTTAAAAATATATATTTAATTGAAATAATGAAAAAGGCTTTATCACTTGATATAGAACAACAATATAGTAATGTTTCCGAAATTCTGGAAAATAGTTTGTTTTGTTAAATTATTTTTGTAAGTATTATATAAAATAGTAAATAAAAGGTATATTATTTTTCCAATATTTTATTTTTTTCTTTGTAATATATATATATATATATTTATTTATTTATTAACTAATATTTGCTTATAATTATTTTAATTTTTTTAATATATATATTTTTTTCCGTTTTAAATTAAAAAAGCATTTTTTTTTTTTCTGTGTCCTATAATAAAAATTAAAATATTAAGATCTTCATTTCGATACTTTTTTTTTGTGCATAAAAATTACAATTTTTTTAGTGTCTTTTTTTCTTTTCTTTTTTTTTTTTTTTTTTTTTTTTTTTGTAAGAATCTTTTTTTTTTTTAAAGATAACTTTTTTACAAAATTTTTATATATTTATCTTTATTTAAAAATTTTTCTTTTTTTCGTAACAATTCTATCAATATCCTTCTGTGTATATTTTTTAATTAAATTTTTTTTTTTTTTTTTTTTTAATTCAAGATTGACTATTTTTATAGTATTAGTAATAAATGCTTGTATCCTGTTAAAATTTATAAATTTATATACTTTATTTACTTTTTTAATTTTCTCCTGTAATTTTTTAAAATTTATTTTCTTCATTAATAAAGATGAAAAAAAAAAGGAAGGATAAATCAGGAGGAAAAGCATTCTTTTATTATTAATAAATTACATATAAAGGCTTTAATCATAAAAAAGAGAAAAAAAAAAGTTTATTTAATAAAATTAATATAAATTATAATTATAGAAATAAAGTCTATCAAATTTATTAAAAAAAAAAAAATTATGTAAAAGCTGAAACCAAATCATCATCTTCATCACTAACGCAAACAATATTATTTTTTAAATTATCAGAATTGTCATTTTCATTAATATCGTTAATGTTAATATAATCCATCTTTTCTGTATTTTCATTATTATGTAACTCCCCAATAGGTGCATATTTAGGATTCATGTATTGAGAATCTGCTCCATAAACCATACTTTTCGTAAAATCTTTTTCATATATGGGATTTTTATTAAAATTATTTCCATAATTATTATTCTGATGAACACTGTTAAAATTATTTATATTTAAATTTGTTTCACAATCATATTTTGTATTTTTATTTGATGTATTATCAGAATAAATATTCTGAATTGAGTCACAATCATAATATATATTTTGATCGAAATTATTTTTTTTATCAAAATTTTCATATAAATTATAATCATAACTGTTGTTTTGTTTTATGTCATTTTTATTAGTTATAATACAAACATCTAAATTACTCATATCTGAAGTTAAATAATTTGGTGCATCTTGATTTTTATCATAAAAAATGTTACACCTTGAAGAATTTAAACTGTTCACATTCTCTGATTTATTATTATTATTAATTAAATTTTTCTTATAATTAGAAGTATCAAAAATTTCATAATTATGCTTTTTTTTAGTTTGATCCAATAAATTATCTAGAGATATAGTTTCACTATTAGCACTACTTTTATATCCACGATCACTATTATCACTTTCATTAAAATTAAAATTATTATGATCAGTAACATTGTATTTATATCCATCTCTATTAGTTAACTTTACGTGATTTACTTTATAATTTCTTTTTGGTTTCCATATTTTAAAATTATCTATATCACTTTTCCACACTTTTAAATTTCCTCCATTTCCTCCTGATAATAAAAATTCTGAACCGTTCAGAAAATTTAAGAAATGGACACCATTTGTATGACCATGAAAGGATGAAATGATTAAACCACTAGTTATAGACCATAAAATAATAGCATCTTCATAACCTGCATATAAAACCTTTTTATTTTTATCAACACATAAAGATAAAACGTTATTTTCATAAACTAAAGGTGGTATATATTGTGCCGAAATATTATTATCAATAACTAACTTTGTTATATATTTTTTATTTTCATTATTGCCATTATTATTATGAGTAGCAGTAGTAGTAGTAGTAGCAATACTTTCATTTGATATATTCTGATTGTTCAAGTTACGTTTATATAAGTGGTTATTGTAATCATAATTTTTATTATAATTAGCGTTATTATACTCATAATTTGTCAATGAAATACTTTTTATATTGTTATTATCTTTTATTAGTAATTCATTTTTGATAGGATTATTTTTTACATTTTTGCTATCATTACTGTAATGATAATTATAACAAGCAATTACATTATCATAACCTATAAATAAATATTTATCTGTATTTGCAAAACAATTTATTTTTTCTCCATTTTTTAGTTTCTTTGTGTCTAAATAAATAGGAGGGTTGTTGCTCATATTATATATAAAGAATAGCGAACAGTCAGTACCAATAACAATATTGTTATATTCTAACAAATGACAAGTAGTTATTTTATCTTTTTCTAATCTTTTATTACACCTTCCCCCACTTATAATTTTGTAATTATCTAAATAAAATAACCTGAAAGCATTATCATAACCACATGTACAAAAAAGATTATCATTTAGCTGCATCATTTTTAATATGGTATCATTATGACAGGGAATATTTTTTATATATGTCAATGTAAGAAGTTCTATATCTATTTTATAAATATGAATTTTTCCATCATCACCTGAAATAATAACTTCATTTCTTTTTTCTGAACAAATAATATTTCTTGCTTTATAAGTAGTTTGTTCTTTATATTTTTCAACAAATGTAGAAGTGAGATCATTATTATATGAAAAAATCTTAATTTCACCAACTATATCAGGTTCAATAATTGACCATAATTTTCCTAATTTACTTAAATTACTTTTATCCTCATAAACGCAAATTATAAAATTATATTTTTCATTAATATATAAATCACTCAATGAAAATTTTTGTGAACCTATACTATTTAATAATTTTGTTTTTACAATTTCTATAGATAAATTTATTTTATCATAAAACATAAGAAAATTCAAAAATAATGCGCAACACCTTATATCTGGTCTAATAAATAAGCCTTGTATGTAAGAATTCAGTACATTTTTTCTATAACTTATATATTCACTATTTTTATAAGACAATAATTTTTTCTTTGGTAAATTTGGTAAAGCTGAAAAACCGAAATGTAATAATTCACAATGTAACTCTTCAAATTCACTATATCTTTTATTTACTTCATACTTTAAATCTTTGTATTTAACTAAAATAACGTAATATATTTTTTCATCTCTATTATCCACACGATTTATCCCAATATCAAATTCTTCTAAATTCATTTTAGTTAATTTATTCTATTTTAAGTATTTTTATTTTAAATATTTTTTATTTGCAACAACAAAAATATTATAATGAAAAGGAAAATAAAAAAATTTCAAACATTCCATTTAAAAAAGTCATTTATACTAATATATATATATATATAAGAAAAAAAAAAAAAAAAACTCTCATTTCATGTTAATACAGAAAAATACAAAAAAAAAAAAAAATAAATAAATAAATAAATAAAAATAAGAAATAGTAAAATTGAAGTATGATTAATGAAATCACAATAAGAAATAAAATAAAATAAAATCTATTTGACTAATACAAAATAAATAAATAATTATGCACGTACCTATTTTTATAGTATCGAGAATTAGTAAATACTAAACTTTATATTAAAAAACAGGTATCTAAAGAATATACACATTTTAAGATATTCATTAAAAAAAAAAAAAAAAAAAATACACATATATTTTACTTTGTTTCATAAAAATAAGAAATAAGAAAATATAAAAATTATAACCAAAAAAAAAAAGTATGCTTTAAATATTTTACAATTATGTAAAAATCAACAAAGAAAATAAATTTCCTATATACATATATACAGTATTAAGATATATTAAAAATTTAAATTACAAAGTATAGGATCAAACAACTCATGTAAGAAATAAAAAAAGAAATTGTAATTACATAAGAAATTATATATACTTTAAACGCATTCTTATAATTAAAAAATTTTATAACTAAAATATTTTACCAAAAAAAAAAAAAAAAAAAAAAAAAAAAAATAGTAAATGAACTTACATATTTTTATTCTTTTATATTTAAATTTTTAGCTACAATATTTTTTTTTTTTTTTTTTTTTATTATTATAAGAAAATAGTTTATTATAAAAAGCAAAAAATAAAAAACTTACTAAATTTTAACATTATTCACATTTAGCTAAATAAAATAAAAGGATGCATATTTTTTTTTAAGAAATAATAAGGAAAATTTTTTCTAAATATTTTAATAAATTTTATTATATATTTTTTTTTTTTCATAAATAGGCTATGTTTTTTATGTAAAAATGCAAAAATTTCTCTAATACATTTAGCAAAATTTATAATTGTGTGCAAATGTTATTTGTAAAATTTAGATATTTTCTTTGAAATTAAAATAAAACAGTATAAGTGTTTCATTTATGACATCTACGCATAATTCTATCTATATATTACACATTTTATTAGTACAGCTTCAAATTAAAGAAACCACGAAGCATAATATTTATATTGTCTTTTTTTTTTTTTTTTTTTTAATACTTGTTATATTTTTTATTTAAAAGTTTTTTCTTTAATAAATTATGTTATATAATTCAAAAAAAGTTAAAAGGATAAATATAATATGTTGTAATAAACTTTAATACAAAAGCAAATTTTTTTTCTTTTTTTTTTATTTCGTTGTTATAAATATTTAAGATAAAAAAATGCAATTTTAGTTACTTTTATTAATATAAAAAAATATGAAGAATAAGAAAAATTAAACTACATTTATAAATAAACCATCTATGTTGAAATTTTGCGAATATAAAAACTTTAACAAAAAAAAAAATTATATAAAATAAGTAAAAATTTTTATTTCTAATTCCCAATAAATAAAAGTAAAAATAAAAATACATTAACCTTTTAAATATCAAAATGAGAATCAAAATTTATGTAAGAATGTCTTTAATTTTTACATTATTTTTCATAAATTAAAAAAGGCAATAAAAAAAGCCTTTATGTTCAATTCTTTTAAGAACTATTAAACTACATGAAAACTTCTTTTCTTATTTCTTTTTTATTTTCCTCATTTAATATAACTTTTAATCAACTTACATTTATTTATTTCATTTTATCTTTCTTTGTTTTTTTTATTCCTTTTTCTTTTATGTTTCTTTTTATCTTTATTTTTATTTACTTCATTATTATCTTTATATATAACTTGTTCTTTATCGACATTAATTTTTGTATTTTCATTGTTGTTTGATAAATTTTCATTTAACCTGTTTTCATCGTTTATTTGCTCATCTAAAAAACAAATCTCATTTTCTTCATTTTTATTAATAATTCCTTCATGTTCATCCAATTCTTTTAAATTTGTATTTTCTAAAGATTCTGTTTTTATAATAACATTTTCACTATATTTTTTGTTACATGCAGACAATGAATTTTCTTTAGTTTCATTTAAATTATCTATTGTTGAATTATCTAAATATGTTGAAAATTCACATTTTTCTTTTTTATCTATTCTTATAACATTATCTTTTACTTCCCCATTTTTTATTAAATGATCATTTACGTTATTCTCGCAAATCATAGATATATTGTTTGAATGAGCATCACTGTTAATGGTATTACTATATGTTTTATCATATATATTTTTATTTATATCTTTATTAGTATCACTATTTAAATTTTCATTTTTTTTTTTTTTATTATTATCTTCAAATGAATTATCTATTTGTGTACAATATATAGAAGTATTAGATTGATCACAGTCTTGATAATTACTCTTAATATAATTGTTTTTATATATGTGTTCAGTTGAAGATATTTTTTCTGTAACTTCATTAATTGAGTTAACCTCTTCTTTTTCACAATCATTTCTATTATCCACAATTTTCAAATAAAATTTACTTGAAGTTTCATCAATTTTTGCTTCTATATTATTTTCATTTTTTGAAATACCATCAATATTAATTTGAATATCTTCTTTATTTATATCATTTATTTCTCTTTCTATTTCTTTTTTACCATTATTTGTTTTTACATTTTCTTTTTCTTGTACTTTTTCTTTCTTTTCTTTTATTTCTTTGTTTTCTTGAATTTCTTCTTTGATTTTATGCATTTCTTTGTTCTCTTGTATTTCCATTTTGTCTACTTGTACTTCTTTACTTTTTTCCATTTCTTCTGTATTTTTTTGAGTTACATTATTAAAATTGTTAATTCTTTCAATTTCGTCATTTTTTAACTGTTCATTTTCTTCTTTACTAATTTTATCTTTTTCTCTATTCTCTTCCGTTATTTCTATTTCATTTTTTTCCTCTTTTTCAGTAATCTTATTTTTCATACCTTTAATTTTTTCTTTCTTTTCTTCTTCTTCTTCTTCTATTTCACTTTTTTCTTTTTCATTAATATCATTTTTTCCATCTTTAAAATTTTCCTTATTCTCTTCCATTATTTCTATTTCATTATTTTCTTCTTTTTCGTTAACCTTATTTTCATCTTTAACTTTTTCTTTATACTCTTCCTCTTTATCTATTTCATTCTTTTCTACTTTTTCGATCATCTTATCTTCATCTTTAATTTTTTCTTTATACTCTTCCTCTTTATCTATTTCATTCTTTTCTACTTTTTCGATCATCTTATCTTCATCTTTAATTTTTTCTTTACACTCTTTCTCTTTTTCAATTTCATTTTGTTCTTTTTCAATAACATCAACCTTCCCACCTTTAACTGTTTCTTCACTGTCTTCTTCTTCTATTTCATAATTTTTTTCTTTTTCAATAATCTCATTTTTTTCATCTTTAATTTTTTCTTCATTCTTTGCCGTTATTTCTATTTCATTCTTTTCTTCTTTTTCAATAATATCATCTCCTCCATCTTTAATTTTTTCTTCATTTTCTACCTCTATTTCTATTTCATTTTTTTTTTTTTCTTCAGTAATCTCATCTTCACCTCCAATTCTTTCTATGCACTCTCCCTTTTTTTCAATTTCATTTTGTTCTTTTTTAATAACATCAACTTTCCCATCTTTAACTTTTTCTTCATTATCTTCTTTTTCTATTTTATAATTTTTTTCTTCATCTTCTTCATTGGTTATTTTATATATTTCTTCTTTTTCCTTTTCTGCTGTTTTAGTATCTTCACTTTTTTCTTTTTCTTTTTTCATTTTAATATTTAATTTATTTTTTTCTTTGATATTGTTTTTTTTTGTTTCATTATTATCCTTTTCATCTAAACAAGTTTTATTTTCTTCAATTTCATCCTTACCGAATATTTTAGTCTTAACATTGTTCTTATTTACATAATTTTCCTCTTTACACCCTTCATAAGAATGGATAGAATTTATCTCTTCTGTATTTGTTACTTGTTCTTTTGAATTTATATAAAATTCCTCATTATTTAATTTTACAAAATCATGGGAATTAGGAAAACCTTTTTTTTCATTATATTGAAATTCATTAGAGGAAGATGTAGATATTAAGTTCAAATTTTTGTTAAACATACTTTCATTTAAACCATTGATAGTTGTATCATTTAATTGGTTGTATGAATCAATATCGTTATAATTTTTTATTTCATTAAAATTAATTTCGTTGAAAACCTTATTTGTAAGCTTATTTTTCTTTTTTAATTCTGTAAATTTTTTTTTTTTCATTAAGCTACTTTTATTGTCGTTTATTAAAATATCTAAATCATTTTTTTCTTCAAGAAAATTTTTGTTAAGAGGATGATCATTTTTTATCTGATTAATTACACTATTCACATTATTATCTACATATAAAAAAGAATTATTGATATCTGTGTTAAAATTACTATTTATAATTTCTTTATTAGTTAGAATTGATTTTTTTGAATTATTTTCAATATCTGTTTTCATCTTAAAATTAGAACCAAAGTTACAATTATTTAATTTAATTTTACTAAAATTTATAATTTCAAAATCATTTTTCTTATCAAAATCAAAAACATCATTTGATTTTATATTTTCTCCAGTTTTCCTACTAGATGATATATCACTCTGATCATATATAACAAAATGTTGTGTCATTTTTCTTTTATTTTCAAAATCATTAGCTACTTCTACTTTTTTATCTTTTTCAATTCCATTAATGTTATATATATTTCTAGTTAACAATTCATTTGATAAAATTGCTTCATCATTTTTTTCGATTCCTATTCCATTTTCTTTTAATTTATTTTTCTTTTTATCATTTTTTACATGATAATTATCATCTATGTTCTTTGTTTTCTTTAATTTTGCAAATTTTTCTATATGATATATCATATCATTTTCATCTTTACTACTATAATATTGATTTTTTTTTTTTCTTTCTGATACATAATTTTTCTTTCTATAAATATTTAGAGATGAATCGGAATTTGCTGTTTCATTTATATTACTATCATCTTTCTTTAAATCATCTTTTTGAATATTATATTCCACATTCCTCTGAACACTATTTGATGATTTTTCTCTATTTAAATTTTCAAAAAATATTCTCTTCTGGAAAACTGAATTAGAATTAAGTTCATAATAATTTTTTTTATCATTACCATTATTTATGAATGAATTATTATTATTATTAGAATCATTTATAACGTTCAAATAATTTGTTGTATTTGATTCATTCATTACACTAGAATCTTTTACAATAATAGAAGAACTGTTTAATATACTTGAACAATCGTTTATAGCATTGAAATCATTTACATTTTTTTTTAAATCATAAATATTGTTATTTAAAGAATCAACACTATTTGGATTCATTTCATTATTTTGATTACATTCATTATACCTTCGATTATACAAAAAAGTATCTGTAATTTTAGAGTTATTTTTTATTACATCTTCATAATTTATATAATCATCATTTCCTGAACTATTGACACAAGAATAAAACGCATTACTATTATTATCTAAATGATACACAAATTTCTCATTAGATTCATTTCCTTTATAATTTTTACTGCTTTTATAAGTATAATTAGGATTATTTATATAAAATTTAGATTGATCAGAGAGAATTTCTTGAGTGCTTTCTTTAGATTTTTTATTCATCACATCATCAACTAAATCTTCTATGAATTCTTCTTTTCCTAAATTATCAGGAATGTTATTTTGTTGATCATTATTATTTGAACAAATATTATCTAAACTATTAATTTTGAAATTATTAATTTCTTTTTTATTGCATATTTTTTTACTAAGAATTTCTCCTTTTTTTTCTTTTGTATCTTCATTTTCATCTTTTTGAGTTTTTAGAAAAATAGAAAGGTTGCTGGAATTGATAGACAATGAGGAATAATCTGCATCTGCTCCTTTTTTATTTTTTTTATAAAAATAATCAATTTGTATATCTTCTATATTATCTGCATTAACTGATTCTTTTAATTTTTCTATATCTTTTTTATTAATCCTTCTCCAACTATGTTGATCATTAATATCACTTGTTTTTTGAATCTCCTCTTCTTCACAACTATTTACTTTTTCTTCATTTACAAGAATATTATATGAATCATTTTTTGAATTTTTTTTATTTTCTACCATTTCATTTTTTACATTATTTCCCTTATTTTCATATTCATCATTAATTTTATTATTATTCTTTACATTTGTAATATTTACGAAATTCACATTGGGGTAATTTTCAAAACATCTATCACCTTCACTTTCTTCTTTCGTTTGTGTATCTTTATTTTTTTCTATAACTTCTGAGTATTTCATATTTTCATTCTCATTTTCCTCTTCTTTTTCTTTTTTATTGCATGAAATAATTGAGTGTCTTTCATTTTCAAAGTAATTTCTTTCTTTTAACGAATCAAGAATTTTATGATTATCGTAACTATTTTTATGTGATAATGATATCTTCATGTTTTTTAATTTATTACATTCTTTCATTTCATAATTTATATTATTATTATATAATATTTTTCCTTCAGAATTATTTTCAATATTAAAACTGACTTCATCATTAATTATGTTATTATGACTCTCTAACTTTTCTTCAACTTTATTTTTATTTAAGTTATTATCACTATTATTTTCTATATTTTTAACCTTTTCTGTTATAATATTCATTCTTATATTTTCCTGATATTCTTTATTATCATTATTTATAGATTCCTCGTTTTTTTTTAATGTAGATTTTTCTTTTATATCCTTCATTTTATTTGAAAATTTAACGTTTTCTTTATTTTCTTCACTTAATATATTGGTAAAATTAGTTTTAAATTCTTCATCTATTTTTATAATTTTTGTATCATTTTGTTTATTAATTTCACTTTCGAAACATTCTTCCTCTTCAATTTTATCTTCATTCAATAAGGAACTCTTAACTTGCATTTCCTCCTTTACTATAGAATTTGTTAATTCTAATAAATTTTGTTTATCATTTTTTTTTTCTTCATTTAGAATAAGACCATTATTATCTAATAAACATATATTAGAATTATTATCTTTTTCTTTACCTTCATTATCTGAAACAGTATTTTCTGATTTTTCTTTTTTATCTGTTATTATTTCTTCTTTGTTTTTTTCTATTAAACTTTCTTTTTTCTTAATTTCTACTTCAGTTTCAATTTCTAGTGATTGTTTATTATATTTATCTGATATATAATTTATTTCTAATTTATCTTCTTTTTTTAATTCTTCTCCACTTTTTCCGATAAAATCTTCAATTATGCAATTTTCTTCTTCACTATTTGCTAATATATCCGCTTTTTGTTTTAAACTTTCTGTACCTATATTTTTTGTATCATTCATTTCAATAGTATCATCTATCACATCAATGGTATTTTCGTTTATAAAAAAATTAAAATCATCTCTTGTATTTTTTTCATAATTTCTTACTGTTAAATAATTTCTATTATTTGAAGTATTTTTTTTTATTACATTATCACATTGATTTTCTTCTAAATTTACAGAATTATTTGTCATATTTTTACTTTCCTTATTTACACTAATAACATATATTTCACTAATATGAGTTACTTTTTTTTCTTGTTCATTTTCTATACAATTATCACTTTCGTTTTTAACCTCTTCATTTTTAATGTTTTTGTTTTCATCGTCTACATTTTCTATTTGTTCATAATTACTTTTTTCATTTTGAATTGTATCATTTGTTATGTTTTTATTAAAATCCTTTCGTTTTCGTTCTTTTCTATTTGATTTTTCCTTTAAATTATTATGTTTGTTCTTTTTTTCATATTTTTTAATTCCATAATGCATAAAACTTAAATCTTCACTTATTTCACAAGTAGAATCTTTTTTTATGTGTGATTTTTTTTTATGTTTTTCTTTTTCAGTTTCTTTATTTATTTTTCTATCAGATTTTTCTAAATCTAAAATAAAATCATTTTCATCATCAGAAGGATCTATTTTTTTTTCTATACATATATATTTTTTATTTTTATAATGTGTTAAATAGTATTTATAATTATTATTACATGTGTTCAGTTCATTTTTTTCTAAATCTATTTGCATAGATAAAATATCATCTTTTTTTTCTTCCTTTTCTCCATCAACTATTATTTTTAATTCTTTTAACTTTTTTTCTATATAACTTTTCTTCTTTTTTTTTAAGGAAATATAAATTAATGCAGCAAGGCACTCTATTATTAAAAAAGGGCAAATGGAATATAATACATTAGAAAATAGAGTTTCTTTAAAAACATTTGATATATATACAACATTTATAACATTATAGAAAGAAAGACAAAAATATGTTAATATTAACAATAATACTACTATATACAAAATAAGTGCTTTAAATGAATTTACTAGTAGTGCATAAAAAGATACTACTGTTGATATAAAAAATACAAAAAATAGTAATATATGATTATATATATATAACAATATACAAAAAAACGTTTTTATGCCTAATAAAAAAACTAATAAGATAAAATTTATTCTTTGCCAATTTATTTGTTTAAAATTCAAAAGCATTTTGCCTTTTATAGAATCTTCATTTTTCTCCATTTTTTTTTTTTTTTTTTTTTTGTATTTTTGTATTTTTGGTATTATTCTTTCTAATAAATACAAATTATAATCAATTAATAAAATTTATATAATATTTTTAAATAAAAGATGACAAAAATTAAACATACGGATTAATAAAAATTTATACAATTTAATTAGACAAAATTATAATATAATTGTATACACATTTAAAAATGAAAAAAAAAAAAAAAATTATATAATGAGATCAATAATACACATAAGGAATAATAAATATACGTGAAATAATAACGTAATAAAATGAAAAAAAAAAATTTCACTTTATAAGAGATACAAAATAATAAAGTAATACAATGTTTTATTTCTTAACACAATTATAGGAGTATTTATAAAAAAAATTCGTAATTTTTAAAAAATTAAATAATTATATTTAAAAGAAATTTAAATTATTTGCCATCTTTATTTTTCTTTTTTTTCTAAAGAGAAATTAGAATTTTGAAGAAAAAATAAATTTTGTTATTTCTGCATAATTATATAAAAATTTATACATATATAAAAATATATATATATTTTTAAAAACTGCTCAAAGTATGCACAAAAAGTAGGAAAAAATTCTAGTTGTATAAATATACATATATAAAGTAAAAATATAAAGATTATCATTTAAAAATAATAAATTATATTTTTTAAATACAATAAAAGAAAAAATATACATAAAATAGGATAATATAAACTTTTCAGAAAAGCCATTAAAAAAAATGTTTATTTAACACATATTTTAGATTTATTCAAATTTGTTTTACTTTATTTTATTTTATTTATTTTCTTACTTCTTTTTTATTTAGTGTTGCATATTTTCTTTGTTTTTTTTACTATTAGAATATAAATATTTGTATATATGTAATTACTATTTTAAATATGCATATTGTAATGGATATAATTTTTTTTAAAAAAAGTTTCACGTATTAAAATTTCGCATGGCAGAATATATAAAAAAAAAAAAAAAAAATTATTAATAATAATAAATAACAAATAATAAAAAGTAAAAATAAATAATTAAATAAGTATGTGGCATATTTTTTAATCAAAATATATTCTCATTGAAAAATTAAAAAAAAAAAAAATAAAATAAAAAAATAAAAAAAGACCGTAATAAACTAGTCAAATTCTAAATCTAAAAAGATTTCCTAATTGTAAAATTCGTTTCATTAGTTTTTTAGATATTAAAATATGATTTATAGATATAAAAAGAAGTATTTTATCATTATTTTTTATTGAATGAAAATATATTTTCATTTCAAAATTAAAACAAGAATGATATTTTAATCATTGTAAATTGCACATTTTATTCGTAATAGGAGTTAGCACTCACTTTGTAAAAAGTGCTATTTTTACATGTATGTAATTTTATATTTTTATATTGTGCATTTATTTTTATTTTATGATTTTTTTTTTTTTTTTTTTTTTTTTTAGCACTAATATTACATATATAATTGAAAATTTAATAAAGCAAGTGGCTAAAATAATATATTTGTAGTTATAAGTAATTTTTTTTTTCAAGTCTTTTATTTACTAAACGAACTAATTTCTCCACTGTATAAGAAAAATAACAAAAAGTATTTATAAAAAAATGTGCAAATATGCGTAATGAAATATTTTATTTTAAAAATTCTAAAATAAAAATGATTATACAGAAAGAATATTTAAAAAAAATATGTCTAAATAATTAGAATAAAACTATATTTCAAAGAATTGAATTGTTCTAATGCACTTAATAATTTATCTGTCCTAATGCACTTCTTAATAAAATTATTATTCTTTGTTCTTTTTAAGAATTTAGAATATATAGTATATGATTTTTTATTCGTTCCTTTTTCATTAACAAAGTTTGGTTAAATAATTTTTTAATAATTAAAAAAAAAAAAAAATAAGAATGAATATTTATTTGAAAGAAAATAACTTTTGAAAAATTACAGATTCGGTTATATATAAAAACATAAAAAAAAAAAAATTTACTTTCTGTTATTGTTTTTATTTCATAAATAAATAGAAAAATCCAATATATATTATAAGAATGAAATCTTTATTTTTAATTAATATTGTTTTTAAAATAAGAATATAGCTAAAATGAGAGATTAGTAAAATTTCACTTTTATTAAAATCCTTAAAAAATTTAAGGGATTCTTAATTTAATGATGTGCTTTTTTAAAAACATTTAGATATATTTATAAACGATATAAAAGTAAAGCTACAGAATATAAAAATCATTCTTTTTAAATTATATAGATTGAAAAAAATAAAATAAAATAAAATAAAAGTATTTAACCACGTTCTTTCATTTTATATTAAAAGAAAAAATAAACTTATGTACATTTAAACATAAAAGTTAGAATTTTTTATTTTTGTTTAAAAAAAAAAAAAAATGTATGAACATTGTCATAATTTTTAACTTTTTGTCATAAAATTATTAACCTTATAAATTTTTAATAAAAAAATAAAAAAAAAAAAAAAAAAAAAAAATCTATAAGGAAAATACAAATAACATTTATTAAAAGAAATGCTTTTGAAATAAAAATATAATTACAAAATATAGAATGTTAAAAGATGAAAACTAAGAAAAAAGAGTGAAAAACAAATAGAAAATTAATATGATTTTTATTTTTAAACAAAAGGAAATAAAAGTATAAATTAAATTTAAAAAAAACGTAAGTATACTTGCTTTAAACAAAAATAAAAAGTGATACATATTAACAAAATATATAAAAATAAAAAAAAAAAAAAAAAAAGTAAAATAAATATAAAGATATATATAAATATATTTTATAGCAATAAGTAAAAAAAAATAAAATGGAGTTAAATAAAGAAATACATTATGAAAATAACATACTACAAAAAAATGACAATTTTTTTAATTATTATGTTAATCAGAAAATAATAAAAGAAGAAGAAATAGATTCTTTTATGGCTATAATAAATAAAGAATTACCAATAACTTTCAGAGTTTTAAATAATAACAAGTATAGCAAATTTATACATGAAAATATTGAAAATAAATTAGAATCCATATGCAAAAACCGTTACTCAATAATAAAATTAAACGAAGAAGATAAGATGTATGAAATATACTTAACTAGGTCAGAAATAAAAAAACAAGAAAATTACAAAAATTTATATAATTATTTAATTAATTTAAATGAAAGTGGTTATATATTTAGACAAGAATTAGTTAGTATGTTACCTGTTTTATTTTTAAAATTAAAAGAAAATTTTTTTGTTTTAGATATATGTGCAGCTCCAGGTTCAAAAACAGCTCAAATACTGGACTATATGCATTTAATGAAAAGAAAAAATATCAAAAATATTTTGATTAAAAAATTTCTTCAAAAAAATTGCATAAAAATGTATAAAATTATTGAGAATATTGATAGCGATGATACAGAAGAAAATTTTATTAATAAATATTTAATGAATGAAGAGGATAATAAAAATAACATCAATAACAAAAACATTGAAAATAATGATATTCAAGATAAATTTTTGATAAATAATAGTAACAGTGATATATTAATAAATGAAAACGATAAGGAAAATAGGGAATATAATAAAGAAAGCCTAGAAAAAATATATAAAAGTTATTATAGCATATTAGATAATAACTCTTATGATGATAAATTTTTTGAGTATATTCTAAATGTAGATAATAATTTATATAATGATTACAAAGAATTGATTTCTAATAATAACCCTAGTGGAGTTGTTGTAGGTAATGATTCTAATTTTAAAAGATGTTGTATGTTATTTCACCGATTAAAGAATATTCATAGTGGTAGTTTAATAGTTACGAATAATAATGCAATTGATTTTCCATACATATATATAAAAAATGAAAAAGAAGGTAATTTTGAAAGAAAATATTTCGATTCAGTTCTATGTGATGTTCCTTGTAGTGGAGATGGTACTATAAGGAAAGATAAAAACGTATGGTTAAATTGGAATATATATAATGCTTATAATTTATTTCAATTACAAGTTAATATTTTAAAAAGATCAATTGATTTAACAAAAGAGAATGGATACATAATATATAGTACATGTTCTTTAAATCCAATTGAAAATGAGGCAGTTATTTGTGAAATTTTTAATTCTATTGAAAATTTGAGTTCGTTAAAGTTAGTTAATTTTGGAAATGAAATATTAACAAAATTAAATTATAAAACAGGTTTAACAGAATGGAAGGTTTTCATGGATGATAAATGGTTTGAAACCTATGAAGAATTTTGTGATTATTTAACTAGTAATAATTCAATTAAACATAAAAAAATTTATGAAAAAATACAAAAAGGGATGTTTCCATCAAGTAAAGAGTTTTTAAAATTAATTAATTTAAATTATGTAAAGAGATTTTTTCCTCATAAATATAATGCAGGTGGATTTTTTATTGCAGTAATTAAAAAGTGTTCTAAAGTTCAATGGAAAAAAAAAATGAAAAAAGAATACACTAACGAAAATACTACAGAAAATAACAATGGCATATTCGAAAATAAGGAATATACAAAAAATATTAAAAAAAAAAAATATAAAAAAAAAAAAAATAGCAAAAAAAAAAAAGACATAACTTATGAAAACAAAAAGAATATAAACAAAAATTATATTAACAATAAAGAAAGTAATAACAATATATATGAAACATTTAATAATTTAACTGAAAATAATACATTTGATAAAAATATGGCTATAGGTAATAATGAAATAATAAATGCAATCAATAAAAAGAGTGAAGAAGAATTAAACCGTTATATAAAAAGTGAAATAAATACAATTAATATTCCTTGTGAAGATGAAAAGTTTAATGTTATTAAAATGTTAAATGAAAAAATAATTCCGAATAATAATTTGAATTCTATTCATAAAGCACATAAAATTAACCATAAAAATGAAAATTTTATTAAGCAGCAAGAGTATATAAGTTTAGATTATTATGAAAAGTTATTTTGTAAAGATGATATATTAGAAAGAATAAAAAGTTATTTTAATTTAAATGATGATTTTTTATCAATTAAAAATAATTTATATATTCATTTAAAGGATAACAACAATTTTTCTAATTTATCTGTTGATGAAAGAATTAATATGAATATTAAAAAAATTAATTTAGTCAGTAATCACGCTAAAGACATCTTGGAATGTTATACAAAAGTTAAATTAAAAATAATTACTGCAGGAATAACAGTTATACAAATTGATAAAAATAAAAACAATTCACAGGAAAATTATTATAGAATTAATTATAGTGGTTGTCTTAACTTTATTCCATATTTTAAAGAAGTAGATAATTTTTTATTAAATAAAATTTATAGAGATAATATTATTAAAAATTATTTTTACTCTATATATGAAAATAAAGACAGGAAATTTAATTTTGAAACCTATATGGATAATTTGATTAATGAAAGAAAAAGTACAGTATCAAAAACTAATATAAATAAGGAAAGTAATGAAAAAAAAGAACAAAAAAGCATTTGTAATCAATATGATATAAAAGATAAGGAAATATATAATGGCATAGAAGATAATGAAATACCTGATGAACTGAAAATTATGAATAACATTGAAAAAAATAATGAAATAAATAAATATAGTAACAAAAATATAATCATAAATAGTAATATACATGAAAAAAACATTTCAGAAATTAAGAGTGAACATGATGAACAATGTTCTGATAATAAAATAGAAAGTGATATAAACACTATATGGGTGAATAGCGATGTAATATTAGATTTAATAAAAGTTGATAAATCTAAAATAAATAGTATAACTAATGAAACAATAAAACAGACAAAAAAATTAAAACAGTATTCACCCAATGTTTTATTAACTTTAAACAAAAATAAACAAATTTTAGCTATTCCATCAAACAAAGGAAAGATGTACGTAGATATTAGCATTGAGAAAAATTCTATTATTATGTTACCATATATATTAAATTAAGAAAGAAAATAAATAAAATATATGTTAAACAATAATTAGATATTTCTTTTCTTTTCTTTTAATTGAATATATGTTTTTCTATCATTCATCTTAAATTAATTATTATATTTTAATTCATTGTTTTGTTTCAACCCTTTTATAATTTAATTCATTATTTTCATTCATTTCAGAGAATACTTTGAAGTGAAAATTTCATTTTTAATTATACATAAATGAACATATTTTACTTTAATCTTTATTTATAATTTTATTATATATATATATATATATATATTGTTATATTTATTTTTTTTCTGTAATAATATTTTTAATTTTTAATGATATGTATTATTTATACAATGAAGAAATCATATATATAGCTCAACTTCATTAAAAAAGAGAAAGTAATATTTTTAATTTTATAATTAATTTAAACAATTTTAAGTTAACTAAAGATATGTTTTTTTTTATTAAATATTATGAATAATAGATAAAAATCAATAATTATATGGAGACAATTAAAATAATAATATTTGTATATACTATATATATTTCATTTTTCTTTTCAAACATCCCTCAAAAAAAAAAAAAAAAAAAAAAAAAAAAAATACAAAAATGAAAAAAAAAAAAGAAAAAAGGAAAATAAAAAGAAATAGAAAAATTAATATTAAACAAAACAAAAATAGATACACTGCAATTTTGTTCAACATCAAAAAAAAAGAAAAAAACGTAAAAAAATTAGGTGAAAAAAAAATGTCTTTAATAAAATTTTTTATTTTAATCTTTTATTTTTTTTTTATATATCTCCAGACATGATTTTATATTATTTTATATTATTATTTATATATTTTATTTACTTTTATTAATGAATACGTTATTATTTATTTCCTCATCACTATTAATAACATTGCAGAAATTATCTAATGAATAAGGAAATTTAATAGAAGTATTATTATATAGTTTATCCATATTTTTTTTTTTTATATTTACTTTATTTTTTTTGTTATTTATTTCATTCATTTTTTTATAATTTTTAAAATTTTGAATAGCATCTGTAAGTTTTTTTTGATCAATGTTTATCTTTTTTCTTGGAATTTTTTTTTTTCTATCTATTTCGTTAGGTTTTTCTTCACTATTTTTTTTTGTTAAATTTTTTTCCTCATTTTCACTTAATTTATTTTCTCTTAGAAATTTTTTTTTTAACTCTTCAACAATTTTTTTTTTTTTATCATTGTCTATACCACATTTTAAATTATTGCGTCCATTTTTATTATCAGTTAATGTATTTTTTTTATCATTTGTTATATTTTTGTTTTCATTAAACTTTTTGCTATTAAAAGTTTTAATTTCTTTATTATGAGTTGAATTTTCTGCGATTTTCTTCACATTATTTTCAGTTAGTGTTTCTGTTTCAACTTTTTTACTTGTTTTGTGTTTTTTTGATATTTTTTCATTATACTTTGATTCGAAAGAAAAATTAGAATTTATATAAATAGCATCATATTTAGGAAAGTTATTATTAGATTTTTCTTTGTTTAAAAAATGTCCTTCATTAATAGAAATGATAGAAGAACTATTATATCGGTCTTGATTATTTGTTAGGTAATTTTTTAATTCATAATTAGAATCAATAATTTTATTACTACCAATCATTTCGGAATGAAATTTACTATTTTTTTTTATATCATATATATCGTTTTTTTCACTTGTACTTAGTATATTAATTTCTTTAGAACTTTTAGAGAAATTAGTTAGGCAGGGATTAGCGATAATTTCGTCATTAGATTTTGCAGATTGATTAATGCTAGGAAAAGATAAGCAATTATTATCTTTATATATTTCATTTCTAAAAAGATCATTACTATAAATGTAATCATTTAATTTAATATTTTTATCTTTATTATTATTGTTTCTATTTAGAAGGTAATTACTTAATCTTTTAGATATTTTAAGATTGATATTTTTATTATTCATAGAAGATTCTTCATTACTTTCATTAATTGCTCCATTAATTTCACAATCTTTTTCTCTTGTATACTCCTGGTTGTATTCATCATATATATTTTTAATTAAAATATTCTTATCATTTGCATTTATACTTCTATTTGATGCATTTGAAGGTCCTTTTTCACTGTTACTTTCTTTACATAAATAGGTATTTACACTACTATTTAAGATATGTTCGTACATATTTGAATAATTTTCATAATCATTTATTTCTAATTTTTGTTTATTTTGTTTGAAAACATTTTCATTTTCTGTAAATGAACTTTTATTACCATCAAGAAAACTAAAAGTTTTCTTATTTTTTATTTTGATACTTGGAAAAATATGACCTTCTTGTATTAATTCAACAAAAGACTCTTTTGTTTCTTTTTCTTGATTTTTTAGAATATCAGTACTTCTGAATTTTTTTATATATTTATTTCTTTTTTGTGCTTTTAAAAAATATTCTAAGTTATTTTCTGATTTCCATTTCTTTTTGTTCCTTTTTAAATTTCTGTAATTGTTAGATGATTTATTTGAGATGGAATTTTCATCCAAAGCATCTTTTACAAAGTTACTCATATCTGATGCACCACTATCTTCAGTGCTTGCAACATCTAAATAAGTATTACTTTTTTTTAAAAGAAAATTATTCTTTTTTATATATAACTTATCAGGAGACCATGAATAGGTGTTAAGAATTGTATTAAAATGTTGAATATATTCTGAATTATAAAATATTTGATCTTTTTTGTCATGATATCTATTTTTTTTTTTTTTTTCTTCGTCTTTTTCTTTTTTCTCATTTAGTTGGTCATAACGATTTTTTTTTAAAAAATTTGATGTTTTAAAACTTTTTATGTTTAAACTATTTCCTATATAATCTGAATCTTCCAGGTTATCTACTGTTGTAGTTGTAAGTGTTATTCTTGTGTTACTCATTGATTTGTTTCTTTTTTTCATTTTGTTTTTTGTTTTTATTTCTTTCTGAAGGAATATATGTTTTTTTTTTGATTTATTATTGTTATGCTTCATATTGCACTCTTCTGAATTATTATTACTTTCTGTTTTTTGCTGATATTGTTCATATAAATTGTTGTAAGCATCTTTATAAGCGATTTTTAATTCCTCTGTTTTTAAGTTATTAGATAATTTAGATATGTTACTACCTTTCAAAAAGACATTTAACAAACTTTTTTCAGAATCACTAGAATTCTTATTGATAAAAGATGAATTATTATCAACAAATATAGAATTACTTGAAATATCCCTAATATCATTACTTGATTTTTCATTATATACATTTTTATGAATTAAATACTCATTAGCATTAGAAGAAGGAATAGGTGTGTCATAAATTATTTCTTTTCCTGTATCTTTATATTTTTTAAATTCATTATTATTTTTATCTTCATTACATTCCTTACATTTTACAACATTTTCTTCTGTTTGATAATATGTTAATATTTTTTCATTTGAATTATCATTTTCCTCAGATATATTAATGTTATTAAAATCATCAGTATTATTTTCCTCTTTATTAAAATTGTTATTAAAAACACTTTTTTTTTTATAATTACTGTTAATATTTGTGTTACCATTATTACTACTATTATTAATATTATTGTTATTATTATTGTTACTATCATAAACATTAGTTTTATTCGAACTAATGTTTAAAATTTCTCCATTAACTGATATTTTAAAATTTTCTTTGTTATCATTTTCATTTTGTAAATCACTTTTTTCGCTACAATAATCACTATTAGTATGATTTTCTTTATTGCTATATTTATGAAACTTATAATTTTTATAAAATTCATTATCCATGCTATTATCTTTTAATTGATTTTCATCATTGCTTACTTCACTTTTTTTATCACTTGTCTCTTTGTTTAAACTATTATATTTTATATGATTTTTCTCATCATAAATATGATTTTCACTTTTTATTTTTTCATTGTTTTTTTCATTATTTATATCTTTTATTATATATGAATTATTCAAATTTTTTTTTTGGGAAAAATCATATTTATTTTTTATTTCATTATTAATATTCTTTTTTTGGGAATCTATAGAATAATTAGAATACAACATTTTTACTGGTTCCCCACTTTTTGTTATTGAGTTACATCCATCATATTTTTCTTTCTTATGGTTCATTTCTTCTTCATTATTGTAATTATTATTATTATTATTTATTTTATCATTATTATCCTTAAAATCAATGGATACCAAACCTTTGTTGTGTGTTAACTCTTCTTCATTCGTATTTTTTCTAACTTGCAAATGATCTTCAACTATATCTTCGATTAGGAAAGATTTATGTTCATTTAATTCTTTGTTTTCCTTATTTTTTGATTCCTTTTTTTTAAATTCATTTATTCTTCTTTTTAAATTTTCAATATCTCCTAAGCTTTTATAAACAAAAGATTCATAAAATATGTCACTACCTATCAATAGTCCAGTTAAATTATTGTCAGTAGAAGAGCTTGATTCTGATTTACTATTTTGAAACCCATATATATTATTAAATATATTTTTATTAGAAGTGCAAATATTATTTTGTTTTTCATTATGTAATAAATTCTTATCATTTATATATTTGTTATCCTCCTTATTTATATAATTTTCATTTCGTTTAAAACTTTCGTATGAACTATCATTATTAATAATTAATTTTAAATCCGCTTTTTTAATAATTTTTTCTTCTGGATAATCTTTACTATCTTTGAATTTATTTTTTAATTCACAAAAATATTTTATACATGTTTCGTTTTTATTTAAACTTTCAAAACCATTAATGCAATAGTAATTTTCGCAAATTCTTTCATTATTGTTTTTTTTATTATCCTCTTTACAATCAATATCTTCATCATTAATTTTATTTTTATTATCTTCAAAATTATAAATTTTCTCTTTTAAATAGACTTCTGTATTTTTCTTAGACGAACCATTTGTATGTTCGTAATTATATTTATTTTCTTTTATTCCTTCTTCATATTCATTGTAGTCAATGTTACTTTGTTCATTTTTATTAACTAATTTATCATAACTACTATTATTAAAATTACCATAAGGAAACTGTTTATCAGTTGTTTTTCCATAAGAATTTTTTATATCACTTTTTTTTTTTAAGAAAGTTCCTTTTAAGATATTGTTTTCTTGATCTTGATTTTTTTCTTCTTTATTACTATTATTATTGATATTATTCTTTTTATTTTCATTTTTATTATATGAATACTCAGATAATACATTTAATTCTCCATTTGAATTAACACCTTTAAGTTTTAATTTGTCACTATGTTTTGTTTTCAAAATAGCATTTTTCATTAATCTGTTATTATTTTCAAATATATATGTATTAAGGAAATTTATTATTGGTTCTTCATAAGAATTAGAAGATAAATGAATATTTAAGTTTTTATCATCATATTTTAAATGCTTGTTTTCACCAGAAATGTCATAATATTCTGTGATTTTTTCTCTTACTTTGTCTATATAGCTTTTATTATTTAGTTTTTCATTACTTTCTTCTTTATTTTCTTTTGTTTTACAAATATTTATAGGTAAATTGCTTAAGTTTTCATCCTTTTTTTTATTTGCATCAAATATTAATTCATTAAATATATTTATACTGTATCCTTTATTATTCTCCAAGTATTTATTGATATATTCCAATAATGAAATATTACTAAAATTGTTATTTTCAAATTCTTTTTTATTTAATTTTGATGATAAATATTTTTTCAAATTTTCGATCATATCAAAACTTTCAGGGTTACAACTATTATTTATAAGACTGTCTGAAAAATTATTAGCATAATTACTTTTTTCTTCAATTAGTTTTATGTATTCAGAATTATAACCGAAATCATTTTCATAATCGTCATCATCATAATTATCATTTTTATTCTTTTCATCATTAAAATACGATAATTCATTATTGGAACTGTAATTTATATCATTGCTATGTATATAATATTTTTCAACAGAAGTTTCATTTCTTGAATTATTTTTATTACTATAAATACTAGAATTTTCCGATTTACAGTTTTTATTTTTATTTTCTTCTTCACGATGAAAATTTTCTTCTTGTTTTTCTTCAGTACCATTTTCTTTTTTCTTTTTTATTTTCTTTTCATTTAGATGTACATTTCCTTTATTATTAAGTCTTTTCATGCTTTTATCATGTAATTTCTTTTTAAAATTATCAATCATTTCTAAACTTAACTCTCTTGTTATATTAGACTCTTCTTCTTTATCTATTAATTTTTTTGTATTAGATATGTTTCTCTTCGAAAATACTATTGAATCATTTATCAAATTGTAATTTATTTGGTTTTGTTGACTCATAAATATTTTTTCTTTGACTTCATCATTATATACTTTACTTTTAATATCTTGTGTATTTATTTTTTCATTTTCTTCCAATTTGTTCTCTATATCTAAATCATTATTGTTATTATCTCCCATATTTTTTTTTAAATTAATTCCTGATATATTACTTAAATTAAAATTCTTTTCACATTTTTCTTTATTAATACTATTATCTTCAATTTTTTTTATATGACAGTATTTATTTTTTGTATTTTCTTTATTTAAGGTGTTATTTACATTTAACAAAATTAACTCTTCATTCATATTTGAAGAATCCCTCTCGGTAATATAATAACTACTAAAATTTTCAAAATTATTATTAGAAATATTCCTTTTAACTAAATTATTAATTTTTCCATTATTTGAAAATTCTAATATATTTTTTTGAATTGATTTTATATCTTCTTTTTCATATTTATTATCTTTATTGTGTATGATACTACTTCCTAGCATATTTCTTTTATTATTTCCATCAATATTAGATGAACAAGATGAATTAATATTAATTAATAACTCTCTTTTTATTTTATTTTTTTCATTTTTTAAGTCATTATTAATATATTTATTAAGGGAATCAAACGATAATTCATTTGAATATCTGCAGTTTTTTTTCTCTAAATGTTCACTGCTATTTTCAGATATTTTGCTTAACACATCAACTTTATCCATAAATTCTTTATTTATTTGATGTTTATATGTTTCACTTAATTCATTTTTTTCATCTTTTATTCCTTTTTCTCCATATACACTTGCATGTTTCTCTACTACTTTTTCTTCATCTGTTTTTCCTAATTTATTATTTGAATCTATATTGTTTTCTTTTAGTTCTTTAAAATTTAATTCTTCTATATATTTTTCTTTTTTTATATCTTTTCTTTTTATAAAATCTTCTACTTCTTTATTAATTTCTATTATCTTCATATTACTTGGTATGTTAATTTGATTATTTAGAGTGTCTTCATTTCTAGTTAGAAGATTTAATTGATTCTCTTCATATAAATTTTTATTTATGTTTGAATGACTTTCATCCTTAGTTTTCAAAGAATCCTTTTCTTTATAATCGTTTTTATTTTCTTCAGAATCCATGTTATCCTTTTCTATTTGTAAATTTTTTATAAAATTACTTAAAATTTCATCAAAACTATTCATATTTTTAGCATCTAATTCAGCAATATATGATAAACTATCTATAGAATTATTTATTAAATTTTTTTTATTTGTATCATTTTTTTTGTTTTCCATAATCAAAGTTTCTGCATAATTTAATAAATCATTTAAATTAGCATTTTCATCATTTTTATCTTTTTCATTATTTTGCATATTATTACATTTCATTATTTTTTCAATATTAGAATCAACATTTCCTTCATCTATATTTTTTGAGTTATTCCTATTACTCAATACTTTATAATTTTTCTTTTGATTATCATCTTTTTGTGTAATTCTATCTGTATTTTCGTCATTAGACTCACTTAAATAACCTATATTTATGGTGTCTCTTGATTTAGAATCATGATCAACTTCATTCTGTAATATTTTTTTATCTAATCCTAAAGTTAAATTTTTAATTTCTTTAGATGATTTCTCTTCATCCATCAACTCTTTTTTATTATTGTATAAAGATGATAAAAATTGTTTTATATTATTATCTTCAAAAAAAGATTGTAATGTTTTAGAGTTGAGAAAACGTAAAGCATCAAAATTTGCATTCCTATCGGTTAAAAAATTACTTATAATTCCATTTAAAGAATTACTATGTAAATCTTCACTTAAGAAACTTGGACGCTTTGAAGAACATGAATTGTTAATTTTATTTATTATATTTTTATTACTACTTAAAACTTGACTAATATCAAATAATTTTATTTCATCATCCTTTTCTATATTACTAATATTACTTTTCAAAAATTCATTTAAATTATTAGAATTTGAAAAGAGGAAATAAAAATCATTATTAAATTTCTTATAATCTAAATTTTTGCATTTTAGCCATTCTTTGTATACTCTTGCAATTATGCCAGGATAATAATACCAGAAGCAATTTTCTTCTTTATTTGTATTTTCATCAAAAGATAATTTTGAGGAAGAATATATAGGTATTTTAATATAATCATTATTATAATTACTAATTAAAGAATTATGGTTTTGTAGATTTGAATTTAATAAATAAAAAGAGTAAGAGTCATTCGACTTTCTAAAAGAATTAGAAATATTTGTGCAATCATTAAAATTTAAGGATTCATTTCTTTGTTTTAATTCATCAGGATCCTCGTCTTTAATCGATAATTCGTCCAATTCAGATTTATAATTCTCCTTTATATTATTTGAATCATTTTCTTCTAATGAAATATCAATATCTTTTATCATATTTGACTCCGATTTTTCTTTATCCAATGAACATATTTCATTAAAACTTTGTGAATTTCCCAATTCTACACTATATGTTGAAATTTTATTAGACTTTGTCAAACATAAATTTTTATGTGTATGTTCTTCTTTCAAATCTTCATATAGAACAATTTGATTATTTAAGTTTTCATGTTCTAATTTTTTTGATTCAATTAAATTAGTAAAAATATTTTTTTTGCATAAGTAAAATATTAATTCATCATATATGTCTAATAAAACCTGTATTATATATGTATATTTGCTATAAAATATGGAAGAAGTGCAATAATTTGTATTTTTACAATTCGTAAAATAAAAAGTCCTATTTTTAAAATAATCTACTTTAAATTTATTTTTACTTTTTTCATCATGTATAGTGGATATCTTTTTTAATAAAAAATCTAAGCCTTTATTTATATTTTTTTGCTCATAATTATTTTTATTCTTTGTATTATTAATATCATCATATATTTCCGAAATATCCGATAATGATTCATTTATATCTAATATGAAATCATTTGAATAATGAATATTTTTCTGTGACATATTATTGTATCTTTTTGAATTTTTTGTTTTGTTTTTTTCTTCACTTAAATACATATTTTTGTTGTAATTTTTTCCTTTCTTTAATGATTCATTTTCGTCATATTTATTTGGTGAATACTTTATATCAATTGCTGTTTTTAGTAAAATATGTTTATATAAATGTAAGTCACTGTATATGTATTTTTTAAAGTCTATATTTATTTCTCTACTGTCTGTTTTTTGAACGTCTAATATTTTGTTGTGGTCATCTAAGCTTAAAATATATTTATCATACTTAAAATAAACATTATTTTCTTTTTCATCTTTATTAATATAAGGATGTACATTTGAATAATATACCTTTCTTTCAGAAAACCATTTAGAAAGGGAGTTTTCATATGAAAAAAATACATAATATACATATAACAAATGAACAACAAAAAAAAATATGAGGAAAACCATGTAAAATAAATAAATTTTATATAATCCTTGTGATTTATCATCTTCTGATAAATTCCATGAAATACTCTTGGATAAAGAAGCAGATGCTATAATAGAATTTATTATTAATAAAATTGTTTGAAGAATAATTATTGTAACGTTGCTATATTTACGAATATAATATGTAAAAAGGCTACTAAAAAATAAAATTACAGACATAATAATAAATAAAGTTTCCCCATAACAGCTAAATATAAAAAAAAATCCCAATAAACCAAAGCAGAAAAGTATACATATATCAAACAAATTAAAAAAATTAACTATATTATGGTATATCCATAAGTGTTGTGCTTTATATTTTTTTATTGATTTTATGATAAACATATATGAAAATAAAATAAATGCATAAATAAAGCATATGATTGCTTCTAGAATTAATAATTCTCTATTCGAACTCTCATTTAACTCATTATTTTTTGGCATTTGAACATTTGTATTTTTACTTTCAATATTAAAAATAAAAAAAATTGTGACAATAGAAATGATAATCACACCTACAATAGAATTTAGTAAAGTCATATATGATCGACTAAACTTTAATTGTATTGACATTATTAATAACAATAATGATAATAAAAACCCAATGTACTCATTCATAAGAAAAAATATTATTAGAAGTGAAAAAAACATATAGCTAAATATACAATTTATATCTCTCATTTGAAATAATTTCGAAAAATATTGCTTTTTATTTGATTCATTATGTGCTTGAAATACTTTTTTCAGTAGTTCATTTATTTTATCATTTATTTTTTCTATATTTTCATGACATTTTTCTTTAGATATATAATTATTATATAAGTTATTTTTCTTTTCTTGGTTTTTTTCTATTTCTGATTCTTTATTACCATAAGGTGTTTTATAGTTTTTTATTTGATTCCTTCCATCTTTCTTATCATATATTTTATTATCGTCGAAGTCTTCTTTATCAGTAATATTCAATGATTCTAAATGTTCATCATGTAATTTTATTTTCTTATAATTATCTTTATTTTCATATTTTTTTTCTTCATTTTTTTCTGTTGTTAATACTTTGTTAGTTATCTCACTACTATTAACTTTTTGTTCTTGAATTTTTTTTTTAGTTAAGTTTGTATTATGAATATATCTGAAGCCTTCTGAAACTTTTGGGTTTTCAACATCTAAATCAATTCTATTTTTCATACTGTTGTGGATATTCTTAATTTTTTTTTTTTTTTCTTTCATTAAAAAAAAAAATATTATTAATAATAAAAAATAAGTTGTATCTTAACTAAAAAACAAAAAGTGAGATACAAAAAATTAGCATACAAAAAAAATTCATAAATAAATTATAAAAATAAATAGTTACAATACAAAAAATTGATATATATACAATGTAAGACTAAAATATAGAAAAATAGAATAAGAATATGTACTATATATAAAAAATCATGTACAAAAAAATTTATTCATATAAAAAATTGATATGAAAAATTTGATTTATATATAAAAAATTAAATACAAAAGGATGATATGTATATATACATTAAAAACATACATAGGACAAATTTGTTTCAATCTTTTTTTTTTTATTTTTTTGCTATTTTTATATATATTTTAGCAAAATGGTTTTTAATTTTAAAAAATAAGCTAATAACTCAAGATACAAAAAAATGCACTTAAAAAAAAAGTTAATAAACAAACAATTTTGCTTTTTAAGAAAATAAAATAATAGAATATGGGATTATTAAAATTTTATAAGCCCTCTCATACACAAAAAAAAAAAAAAAAAATAAAATAAAATAAAATAAAATAAATAAATAAAATGTGTCTTAATTCTCCAGTTATTCTTAAAAAGTAATAGACAATATTTTATTTTAATTTCATTTAATTCAATAAAAAAAAAAAAAAAAATTAACAAACAGACAAATATATTTCCATTTTTTATTTTTCTTTAAAACAAAGATATTACTAAAAAAAAAAAAAAAAGTATATTCAAATACAAAAGTAATACAACAATAAGATTAAAAAAAAGTTTAATTTGTATAATATAATAAATATATTTTTGTCTTGTATTTTAAAAAAAAAATTGTGAAAAAATAAAACAAGAAAAAAAAAAAAAAATCTAATAAAATATATGTGACATTTATGATATATATTTCATATTAAAAAAATTAAATATATATATTTTCCAGATTCCCAATTTCGTAATAATCTAATAAAAATATTGTAATTTTTTTAATTGTTTAGTAGTTTTTATTTGCTTACCTGTGCATAATTTATGAATAAAAAATTTTTTTTTTTTAATTTTGTATATATAGCATAAATTATACACAAAAAAAAAAAAAAAAATAAATAAATAAAAATAAAAAAGTAAATTACCTTATGTAATAAAAAAAAAAAAAAATAAGTATAAGAATGTATTTTTACTATTCAAAATGTGTGTAAAAAGAAAGTGTATAAAAATTTTTTTTTTTTTTTTTTCTATAAAAATATTTGTATTATTACTCACAACAAAACAAAAATTTGTTTCTTAAAAAGTTAAAATGTTAAACAATACATAAGTATTTTTAAAAGAAACCTAAATTACTTTTTAAAAATAAAATGCACAAAATAATTACACATTACATATAAGTATAATTTTTTAATTCTATTATTTTTAAAGAAATATGTATTTATATAAAATTTTATTATAAAATATTTTTAAATATATTACGGATTTTTTAGCAATTTTAATTGAAGCTTATTTAAATTACATCAATGAAAAATTATTTCATAAGGTATTTTTTTTGTTTTCTTTAGATTTGTTCAATTAATATTTAAAAATTATATTATATATTACATAAAAAGACATAAAAATGTAATAAAACGTATTAACATATATAACAAAAAAAAAAAAAAACAAAAAGGCATTAAATTATTATATAATAATTAATTATAAAATACAATTTTCTTTTATTTTCTTTAATTATATGGTATTCTCTAATTTTTTGTCAAAATTTAAACATTTTTTTTTTTTTTTATAAAAACGTAATTTCGAAAATTTTTAAAGAATTTCACTTTTTTCCTTATTATTTTTTTTTTTTTTTTTTTGAAAGGAAATATAAATATCATAATTTTTATATTATTCTACTTTGAAAATTTTGAGTAAAACATAAGAAAAATTTTGAAACTCTCTGTGTAAATTTTCACACATAGGATACTGTGAAAAATTATAAAACCATATGAGAATAACAAAGGAAATTATCTACTTAATGTTGAAGTTTCATTTTTTTTTAATTGTATTTCTTTCGTTAATAATTTTATTTAATTATAAGCAAATTAATAATACTTCAAAAGAATTATAAAGTACCTAATTATTTAAAAAAAAAGTCTAAAATTATAAAACTAAATGTTTAAATATATGTTATTTTTCATCATAAATTATAAATTGAATAGTTTTAGATTTTAAATATAAGTAATAAGGTATATAACATATTTTTATATTTTAATAAACACATCATTTTATTTAATAAGTAAAAATTAAACTAAAGTATATATCTATAAAAATTTTATATATTTCTTTTTTCATGATTTAAAGAAACAAAATTGAGGACATAATTTAAAATAGATAAAAAATATTACTACATATACTTTTCTTATTTGAGATATAAATTATTAAAATGAGTTCGAAAATAAAGTATTTTTTAATATAAAAGAACATGCATAAAAAAACACTCTTCATTATTAGAAAAAAAAAAAAAAAAAAAATTACAAATTGTATAAAGATTTTCTTTTTAATAATCACATCTTTTAAAGTTAAAAAACGTAATATATTTATTTGTAATTAGCCTTAAACATTTTTATAGTCATTTTTTATAAAAATTAAAAAAATATATAAAGGATATTTTTAAAATATTACGAAAAAAAAAAAAAAAATAGCTATGATAATAAGGAAACATTAATTCTATGTAAAAAAATAATTTAAGAGAAATGAAAAATTTTTCTTTAATATAAATAATAATAAATGATACAATAATAACATATTCTATGAGAATAAAAATATAATATAGTATGAATGAAAAACAAAAAAAAAAAATTATTAAAATTGTTGAAAATGTAAAGTATTTTCAAAATGAAAATTTGTTACTTGAAAATTTAAATACTCTTGACAAGAATATTAGCAAACAGGAAAATAATATAGTTATAGAACTTATAGATATATTCTTAGATCAAAATAGTTATTGTTATGATGAAAATTATCTATTTAATTATAACAAACTAAAAAAAGGAAAGGAATTAAACTTAAATGCAGGTAATAACAAAAAATCAGAATTTTCACAACAATTTAAAGTATATGTTAAAAATAAAAATGTAGAAAAAATAAATGAAGAAGATGTTTACTATTTTTCTTTGAAAAAGAAAAATATATATAATTATGATCGGGAATTTATAAATACCAAGAAAATACTATTTCATTACATATGTAACAATATACTGAATCATTCTGTAAATATAAATTATTTGATAGATAAAATATATGCAGATTTTCAAATTAAAAATACTCAAAATAATATAAAAAATAGAAATCAAATAAATCATATAATATACCATGATGATATATTAAATATATTAATTGAAACTATTTTTAAGCTTTTTATTAGTGATAAGGAATATGATCAAACATGTGGAGAAAATAAAAATTTTCATAAAAAACAAATTCAAAAAAGTTATTTAATGCATACAAAACAACAAACAACTCATAAGGATCATATAATAGAAAATCAATCAATAAATTATTTAAACATATTAAAAAAATTGATTCTCATTAATAAAAATTTCGTTAAAAATATTTTTTATATTTTTTTAAAGAATATGGGAAAATTGAAAGTTAAAAATATAAATAAAATAACTAGAAATATTTTAAAAATTTTTAAAGAAATAATTTGCTACTGTGATGAATTTGAAATAATAACTGTGTATAATATTTTTTTAAATAATAAAGCCGTTGATAAAAATAGGGTTTTATATAATTATATTATTATACTTTGTCTTATAAATTTGAAAAATATACACAATACTTATAATTTAGAATTATGTATGAAATTTATTTCAGATAAATTGTCGTTAAATAATAAATATTGTACAAAAGATATTACATTTATTGAAAAAAATGAATATAAAAAAAGAAAGCAATATAAATGTAAAAAAAATGAAGAAGAAAATAAAAATGATATGTATAAGAATGAAGAAAATGATGCTAATGAAGATGAAGATGAAAATGAAGATCAATGTGAGGATGAGGATGAGGATGAGGATGAAGATGAGGATGAAAATGAGGATGAGGATGAGGATGAGGATGAAAATGAAGATGAGGATGAAGATGAGGATGAAGATGAGGATGAAAATGAAGATGAATGTGAGAATGAGGATGAGGATGAAAATGAAGATGAGGATGAAGATGAAGATGAAGGTGATGATGAACATGTTGATAATAAAAGTGATATTGATAAAAATTATAATGATGAAGGAAAAAAAGAAAATAGTATAAATGATAGTGAAAGACAGTGGAATAATGATTATAAATACACGAAAAGTTTTAACAATTTAGAAGAAATTAAAAAAAGAAAAAAGTTAGCTATATTTTTATTAATGTTTGCAGTAAAAATATGTGATATAAGTTACATTAATGGATGTATAGATAAGTTAATTATAGATTTTTTATATTTATTGAAAAATAATTTGTATTCATTAAAAAATAAAGTCTATCATATTGTAAAAACTATAATTTTCTTATTTGTATTAGTATTTCATAATTTAAATATTGATAATAATAAAACAATTATATATATTTTAAAAATTTTGGATATTTTATTAGAAATTTATTACAAAAAACAGTTAATATATAAAGAATATCCGAAAATTTTAAAAAATATAAAAGTAAATAACGTAAAGAAGGATGAGCAATTAATGGTATCATATGAAGAAATTTCTTTGTTAAATAATAAAAATTTTAAAGAAATTTCAGGAAAAAAAAAAGTAAATGAATTAAGTTCATTTATAAAAAGTAGTGATTGCGAAAATAAAAAAAAAAGTTACGAAGAAGAAAAAATAGATTATTCTGATTTATATGGAATTAATATTTTTGAATTTAATGTATCTCCCCTTTTATTATTTTTAATAATACCTATAAATCTTGAATATAATGTGAATCAGAAAAATGATGATGTTAATAGTATTAATAATAAAATAATTAAATTATCAACAAGATTAAAAAATAAATGGATATTATACTTTAAAAATTATAACAATCACTTCTTAAATCATTTAAAAACAAAAGAAAAAATATGTATGAATCAAATAAAAAAAGAAATAAAAGGAGGCTATAACGTTTTAGAAAATATAAGAGAAGAAATTAAATATTTAATTAGTGATGTGGATAATTTTTGTGAAGATGAAATATTAAATATTTTATGTTTCAATAATATATTATTTTATATATATGACGTATATGTAAATATTGATTTAATTTATTTAATTCGCTTTTTTACATTATGTCAAAATGAATATAATTTTCATTATATAAATGTTGAAAGAGTAAATTATGAATTTAATGTACTTTTAAATTCTAATACAAAATTATGCATTAACACATTTGACAATTTAAAAACTGAATATATATCTAAATGTAATTGTATATATATTAACTTACTAATATTATCATTATTTGAATATAATTTATTTTTTGTTTTTAAATTTATATCTTATTATTGCCTTATAAATTCATCGGAGCTGTTAAAATTTATTCCTTCTTTATTATTTATATACAATTTAACATATGACAACTGCTCTATAGATAATAAAAATTTCAAAGCCAGAAAATTTGTAAACAATCGTATGTATGAAAAAAATATGCATTATGAATTTATTTTAAGAAGTTTAATTTTAAATGTTTTATCAAAGATAGGAAGTAGCAACAACAATATACCTATTGTATATAATTGTGTATATTTTTTATTAAATATGAAAAATAATGATATTAAAGAAAGTTGTATCAAATATAATAGTAATGAAAATGAAAAAAGTAATGATAATATTAATAATAGCAATGCTAATGTAGGTGATAATAATAAATATGGTAATAATGTATCTTTTGAATATAAAAATAATTATAATAAATTATATCTTTTATACAGTTATGATAAATTAATTGATTGCAATGAAAATATAATAAGTAAATATTTTAATTATATAGAAAATATAATGAATTTAGAAAATGAAATTGATAATGAAGTGAAAAATAAAATAATAATACGTGATAAAATGAATAATAAAGTTATTAATTGTTTAAATGAAGATATTGCATTATTTTTTGATTTAAAAAATGTATTAATTTTATTAAAAGTTAGTAGATTTTATAATGTTAGTAATTATGTAAGTATAATTATTAAATCAATAAATAAATGTTTCAGTAAATATAAAAATAAAGTACTTTATAATAATGTTTATCATAAATTAGAAGACAATATAATAAAAATATGTATTCTAATTTTAATTATTTTATCCATGAAAAAATATGTAGAATTCGAAATTATTTATAATTTATTAAAAAAAAACTTTTTAAAGCAAGAATATAATGAATTTAGAATTTGTAATACTAATATCTTTTGTTTTATTTTAATATTTACAAGATTCTATATAAACCATTTGTTATATAAAAAGGAGAAATTATATAATGAACAATATGATATTTTGTATTATACAAAAATAAAATATATTTTAAAAGATTTTACAAAATTAATAAGTTTAAATAATAATAGAATATTAGAAGAAATCGTTAACGTTATATCTACAATATATCCAATATATTATAAAAGCTTTAATATTAATGAAGAAAAAACAAATATAAATTATGAAAATTTAAATGAAAAAAATGAAAATATAACTTCTTATGAGTTAAACATATATGATAAAAAAGATTTAATGAATATATATTTTGATAAAACCTTTGTATATGAATCATTTTTGAAATGCAAACCATATAATATATATGAAAATTTTCAAAAAATAATTCTTAAAGATGAAATAAACGATATTCCTTTATTTCATTTAAGAAATATTAATACAAGCAAAAATGATCATTTAATAAGAGTATTTTATAAGTTATTTAATACGAATATTAAAAATGATAAAAATTCTAATTTTAATTATTACTTCAAATTACTTTTTACTGAAAAATTTCAAAATATTGAGGAAATAATTTTTATTTTTAAAAATTTGTATTTCTTTAATTTTCATTATATTTCATTATTTTTTTATATATTAGATTTTTTTTTTCAAAAACTAAAAAAAAAAGCCGAAGAAAATGAAGAATTTATTTTGGAATTTAAGAATATCAATAATAATTTGAATTTATATGATAAGGAAGATAAAAAAACAAAAATCAAAAAAAGTGAAAATGGACATAAAGGTAATATAAATGAAAAAGAAAACGAAAAGATAATGAAAGAAAATGACAAACAGAAATCAAGAAAATATAGTGTAAATAAAAATTTAAATGCATATTATGAGATTATTTGCAATAATATATATGAAAAGATTAAAATATTGATTAAAAGTGAGAATTTAAACATATATGTATTTTATCCATTATTAAGCATATTATGTAAACATAACAGTGATATAAATGAAATATTAAATTTTTTTTATGAAAAAATTGATACTTATATGAAAGACAAAGAAAACTTACTTATCAACAAAAATGAAATGATTATCATTTTTCTTTGTTTAAATTATATACATATTAACGTTTCTCAAATACCCAATTTTTATAATTATTTAATGGAACTCTTTAATGAAATACAAGATCAAAGTATTAAAAATATACTTTTATTTTGTTTAAGTTCATGTTGTTATTATACAAATATGAGTTATAATGATATTATTACAGTTTTGATGAGCCATAAAAATTATTTAGAATACATATTAAAATATGATGAAGTACAATTATCTTCTTCGTTAGAATGTTTAGAAAAAAAAAATCAAAATAATGAAAAAAACTTAAATAATGATATGTGTATGGAAAATTGTAGCTATGAAAATAAAAAGAAATTTTACTCTTATGACTATTTCTTTTTTTTTATTTCTCTAAGCAATTTATGTTTTTACTTATATAAACATTATAACAATAGAAAATTTGATGAAATAATTGGAAATATATATAATACTATAATAAATATATTGGAAGTAAATATAAACGATGTTATTATTAGTTTAATTAATATTATGATGTATTTATATATTAAGAAAATTATAGATATATATGAAATAATAAATAAATTACAAATTATAATAGAAAATATAAATAAAAATCTAATTATATTTGATTCGAAATACATATTATATTCATTATGTTGTTTTTATAATTTCTTAACGTTCTATTATAGAAAAAGTTTTAATTGTTTTATATATGAAGATTGTAATATAAGTAATAACTTAAAGAAGTCACTCAAATTTGTTATACATAATTTAAATAAAATTATTGTAAGATATTTTGAAGAATTGGAAGATAAAAATATTAGTTTGATTTCATACACTAGCTTAATAGGTGTAAAAAATTTTGGTGAATTTATCTATTCTGATTATTTTGATACTAATGATTATAGTAACATGATTATTTTATTTATAAATAGATATATAAAAAAAGATTTTGAAATAAAGAAAAGCATAAATGTAACAAATAATATTTTAGCTGATGAATCAGATAGTGAGAATTATATTATATCTAAAAATATAAATAAGATTGAGAATATTTCATTAGATGATAAAAATTTATTTATTTATAAAAATAATAATTATAAATTAAAAAATGATATTATAATAAATGATCATAGTATCATTTTAGTTTTTATCTACTTATTTTGTTATAAATATTATGAAGAATTAAATTGTTCTTTAATTAATATTGAAAATTTAAATAAAAAACATATGCTATATTATTTGTATTCTTACATATTAACTATTGAAAATTATTTAAAAAACTTTTTGAAAACTAGCAAAATTTTAGATATACATGAAAATCTAACTATGAATGAAAAAGAATATGAAGAAATTAAATTGATTATATTAGATGATAACAAAAAAAATAAAACATTTTACATGAATTTTTTTTGTAATGAATTATATGATCATTTAAATAACTTTTTGAAAACAATGAAATTAATAAATTATATTAAACTTGATGTAGAAATAAAAAATAACATTTTTAATATATATTCTTATATATGCAAATTTATAAAAATTCTATATATTATTTTGGATTTAATATTAAATATTATGGAAAATAAAAATGATATAAAACAATATTATAATATTTATAAAAACATTATAAAAAATTTACAAGTGTTATATAATTGTAGAATTATTATATTTGATTATTTTTCAATATTTAGTGAATTTAATAATTCCTATAGTAATATATTTTGTAATTTTAGTAATTACTTTCATGAATTCAGTACATATGAGAAATATATGTATATTAAAAGCATAACAAATTTTAAAAAAATTAAAAAAGAAGAAATTAAGTTTCTTTTTCTAAATATTCTGAAAAAGGCTCCTTTATTTCATGAAGACACTTCATTATGGATATATGCTATATCTATTCTAAAAATTTTATTAAAAAAAATATATAAAAGTGTAAAAAAAGAAAGAAATAATTATTTTGATTTATTTTCTTATATAAAATTTTCATTTATTACAGTATTTAATGAAACAGTTTTAACCGTATATAAAGAAAATTATTATAATCATTATTCATTATATGAAAATACAACAGAAATAAAGGAAGAAGAATCGTTATGTGAAAATATGAAAAGTGACTGCTTGAAGCTATTTGAAGATGATACAAATAAGGAAAAATTAAACATCAGTAAAACAAAAAATACAATTATTGATGGAAATAATGATCATGTAAGAAAGCAAGATAGGATAGCAAGTAATTATAAACTTATTTATTTAGATATTCCTCTAAATGTTATGATGTGTATAGCTGATTATTTATTATATTTATTTAAAATTATAATTAAAGAAAAATTAGATAGTGAAATAAATATTGATGAAATGATAAAATTTTTTCCAATTCTCATCCAGGGTTATATTACATTAAAATTAAAGGAAAGTTTTAAAAAATTAAATTTTATTAAAAATAGAATGTTATTTCAATCATTTAAATATAATTTTACTTTTAAAGAAAATTTACAAAATTTTTATTATGTTCACGAAGAATATAGAAAAGATGAAAAAGTTCTCACATTAAAATTTAATTATAATCAATTAACCGAATATTTTCAAAATACCTTTTTGATAAGGGAATGCATATATTTATCATATATTTATAGTCATTTTGATGGAAAATGTAAAATACTTGATAATTTATTATCAATGTATAATCTAATTAATATAAATAAAGATTACTTATATATAATTATTACTTCATTTGTTTATTTTTCAATGAAAAGCAGTAACTTTTCTTTTTTTATAAAAAATGTTCTATACGATTTTTATGTTAGTAATGAATTAATTGACAACTTAAAAATAATTTTAACAAATATAGAATCAAATACTTATACTGACTCAGAATGTTATAATCATGAAAAAAAAAAAAATAATGAAGATATATATGAGGTTTTAAATAAAAAAAGTGATTCATATAACAAAAATATTACAAATGGAGATACAAAAATAAGTAAAAATATAAAGGAATGCATGAATTCAAAAATGTTTTTTATTATTGAAGAAGAGTTCATAAGAACAAAAATGAGAAATTCTTTTCAAAAATACAAAAATAAATTATTAAAAGAAGATAATTTAGTAAAAGAAATATTTTTAAAAGAAGATTTTTTTTTTCTAAAAAAACTAGGAATATATTATTTAATAAATAAAAGTGAAAAAAATACAAGTTTAAGAAAAAAATATAATAAATTGCTTTCCTTTTTCTACAGAAAAGAAAAACACGATTTATTTATAAAATTCTCTGATGTGTGTATAAATGATAAAAATATTAAGAAATATGCAGATAGTCAGGATTTAATTGATAATTCTTATTTTAACAGTAATTTTTTTAATAAAAACATTGAAGATAACTCATTTATTTCAGATATGCATGAACTATTTTCAAAATATTTGAGTGTTCCTATATTTATGAAGGACATTTTTACATTTTTTGAATTAAATTTAAATAAAAATATTTTGTCGAATAGCTTTAATGAATTATTCAATGAAACAACTGATAAAAAACAAAAAACAACTAGTAATGATTCAGATAGTTCTTCATCAAATTCTACCACGAAAAAGGACGTTGAAAAATTCTTATTTGTACAAAAGCAAAAAAAAAAAAAAAAAAATTTATTATATGATAACAGTATATTGAATTATTTAAATAATAGAAATTTCTGTGTTAATAATTATGAGTTATTTATAGCTAATATTTGTTTTATGAACAAAAATATTAAAAGGATGATATTTAAAAAAGATATGTATAATAAAAAATTCATTCTTCATAAAAATTGTTGTATGAATCATATAAATGACCAATTTTATTTATTTCAGACTTTTTTTAAGAATTTAAATTTATTTTTTATGTTTTTTTCTAAGAGTTTCATATTGAGCAACTCTGAATTTTTTTATGCTGATAATAAAAATCATTTAATAAATAATGCAATAAATTCTCTTTTCGAAAATTACAAAACTAAATACGAATAATACAATTTATTATTCTTTAAAAAAAAAAAAAATTTTTTTTTAATAAAGGCAAACATACATTTTTGTTTTTTTTTTTTTTTTTAAATAAAATTCAACATTTTTTTTTATTTTTCATATGAAAAAATTGAATTATTTATAGGGACTGTATAAATTTTTATATTCTAAAAAAAAAAAAAAAAAAAAAAAAAAAAAAT